ATACAGCAGTGTTACAACTCTTGAGGGAGAGTTTTGCCGCCTTTGTGGTCCTACCCGGCTCGATTCCGGATTAGTCGGTTCCCCTGTGAATCCGGAAACCGGAAGGTCCCTGTACCAAAAAAAAATGGACTGTATATTTAATTATTTATTGCCAGTTAAAAATGAAATGTAATGTGAGGGATCCTACTTAGTCATCCAATGGTTTTCTTTATCAAGTCATCAATCACTTAGGGGTGATTGGATATGAATTCAACTAGTAAAAAACTAGTATTTTTTTTTAACTATAGTTAAGTTTGAAAAAAAGTAGTATGGTTAGTTGTTTGTGGATATATTAAATAATATTTAAATTAAAATAATTAAAGTTGATTTAATGTAGAAGTAAGAGAAAATGATTGAAAGTGATGGTTAGTTAAAAATATGTGAGTGGATGAATAGTGAATTAAAGTTGATGTGATGTGTAATAATGATTGGTTGATATTATTTAATTATATTGATAATATTGGAGATAGTGGAGTTGAGTTAAATTTGAGTTTTGAGTGAAACTTTTACGGTAGAATTCATAGTCAATCACGCCCTTAATGTATTGACACTTGTTCAAAGTGTATTTATTGTCAAACAAGTGTTAATGATCGCGGGAATATGGTTAATGATGTGTTAGCCTTTGAGAAAATATTTTTCACATGTTTTAATTTTTTTTATGTTGTGAAAGATTTTGACGTAGGGAAACGTACGAATGGGAAAGATAAACGAGTAAACGAGATACTCTCTCGTAAAACACGCAAAACTCACCATATAATCTTATTTCATTCAAAATCAACTACTTAAAACAATAGATAAAGAGTCATTTAAATAAGGCTCCTAAACCCTATTCCTAACTTGTCCAACAAGACAAAATCTCTTATAATAATATTTAATTTCTAACTTGTTCTCCAAGATACTACTACTATTACTAATAATAATAATAATAATAATAATAATAATAATAATAATAATAATAATTTACACCATTCTCCCCCGATTCGGAAGGCTTCGCCCTCGAAGCCGATGTGCATCCGTGGCCAGCGTGTGGTGTCGAACCCATGGTAGGAAATCTCCGTCATTTTCCTCGGTCGAACACGAAGGTTGAATGTCGCAGCTCCATGGTATCACCCCCTTGATATTCATGGAAAGACATATATGTAGCAGTCACACACAGAATTTTGATGTCGTCGTAGGGTCCAAAAAATATCATTTGTTTGCAAGGTCGCAACAAATTTCCATGGGAGAAAAGTTCGGGCCCGTGCAACAGAATAACTACCAATCGAACACTAAATTCTTCCAACAGCTGAATTTCGATACCCGAAACATGATTGAATTCCTTCGGGTCCAGAGGCTCCTCATCAAAAAATCGGCGGACCGTCGTAGAGACTGTCCACTTCACCGGTAAGACGCTCTTTCACCTCATCTGGTTCTTCATCAAACATCGGTGGACCATCGTACAATGGCAGGTCAACTTGCTCTTCATCGAATTCGGTGATGTCAACGCAAAATGGGCCCTCTTATTAACCATATTCGCGATCAAGTCCCCAATCGTGTCGGGTACGATATCCGCCAGCGAAGGCTGCCTCCTCGCGCCAGCCCCTATCGCTTCGTCGATCATCGCCGTCCACGAAGACCGGGCCCCGTCGTCGCATGTCACGTCCGCTGTATGCAGCAAAGGGGTCAGCCTCGACGGGCGAGGGTAGAAAATCGTCGAAGGGATTCACCTCCTAGATTGTCTCCTCGCCGTCTTCGTCGCCGGACGGTGGTAGCTCTGACGGGGCGCCCCGCCTGGACCAAGGCCTCCACGTCCTCCGCGAATTCCCCTGCACACGCCCCGGTTGCCGGCGTCGCGGTACGTTTGCTTGTCCCGAACCATGGTACGGACAGTTAGACGTATGTCCCTGATCTCCGCGGACATATCTGCAATCTGACGGCCCATCATCTTGAGTTGGCGGCCAAACCACTCGGTCCGGCGGCTCAGGTTGTAGATGGCGGCGACACGCCTCTCGCTTGCAGCATCTTGTCTTCGCGACAACATCGTGAATCGTGCTGACTTCTGATACCAACTGATGTAGGGAAGCATACGAATGGGAAAGTAAACGAGTAAACGAGATACTTTCTCGTAAAACTGTTCGCAAAATATTTTTACTACCCGCAAGCGTACGGAGTAGCTGCAGAAAGCGGCGAGCAAGGTCGTATTCCACAGAGACTGTTGTTAAACTAATTAAGTACCAAAATATCGACGATTAAATATTATCTAGACTAACGCAAATTCTATTGGAGTTTTATTTTAAACTAATGAATAAATGCAAAAATAAATTCTAACACTAATGAAGGCTTGTTCTAAATAAATCAAGTATGAGAAAATAGATTCTAGGCTATGCTTTCCTCGGGATTATTCTAGCGAAGTTTTCTTATTCATTCAAACCTTATTTAATTCTACCAATCGTAGGGATAATCGCTAAAGTAATTTACACCTTTCTCTCGAACAAGTTAAATCGTAGATATTAATTGCTATCTATCTCCTCTCGGTCTCAAGATGAACAACTAACTCCCATAAGCTCCTAAGATTCTAGTTCCCTCGCAAGATTTTATCAACCTCTCGGTTTGTTTAGTCTCTTACGTTATGAATTTCCCAATTCTAGCAATCAATTATCTCCTCTCGGTCTCAAATCGATTACAAATATGCATTCATAGCGGCCGTCTACTCACACAATAATAATAAGCACAAGAAATTGATAAACGAAAGATAGACCGGAATGAATAAACAAAATCACTTCATAAAATAATCCGAGTACTCGCAAATCCTAGAATCTCAAAGAAATTTAGCTACTAAACATATTCTCAATACTCAAAATAAACAAATCCATGAGTTCAATGAAGAAGAAAAAGAGAAAAGAAAGAAGAACTATTGTTGCCGTTAGTTCCCGGATCTTCAATCTTGACTTCCTCGAATCCCTCGTGTGTTTCGTGCTTTCCCTAGGCCTCCAATGGTGTCAAAAGTCCCAAAACCGTTTTCTTTATGTTCCTTATATATTGTAGGGTAAATATGGCTTGAAAAAGGGACAAAATCGCGTAGGTTTCCTAATTTCCGCTGGACTGTCTGCGCGTCACACGAGTCGTGTCACATGCCACAAGAGTCGTGTGACTTTTCTCGAACTTTCGGCCAACTCCCAGACTCACACGACTGGTCACACGACCGGGTCACACGACCCGTGTGAGGTCACACGACTCGTGTCACTTGCCACACGGGTCGTGTGACAAAGCCGAGGCAAAATTCCACATGATCTCGATTTTTCTCACCTCACACGACTCGTGTCACCAACAACACGAGTCGTGTGACCCTGCCTGCACCTTGTTTTTGCCGTTTTTCGTCCCGATTCCATCTTTAACGCTTTTTTGGGCATGTTTCCTACAAAACCAACGACAAATATACCTCTATCATTGATTAATAAATCAAACGAAATGGTGCACAACCTCACAATAAACACGATCAAACATCACACTGTATCACTCATAATGCATGAAAATATGATGAACGTCAAAAACACGCAAAACTCACAATATAATCTTATTTTCATTCAAAATCAACTACTTAAAACAATAGATAAAGAGTCATTTAAATAAGACTCATAAATCATATTCCTAACTTGTCCAACAAGACAAGATCTCTTATAATGATATTTAATTTCTAACTTGTTCTCCAAGATGGTGATGATAATAATAATAATAATAATAATAATAATAATAATAATAATAATAATAATAATAATAATCTACACCAAATTCAATGTTTATTTGATAATAGTTTTATGTTTGATATATGAACATAATTTTTATAGGCATGCCATGAGATCTGATGATATAAACATGTTATAAACTATAAATAAGTTAAACATGAACATCAAGAATAAATAGTTCGTAAATTTACGATAAAAGTGTATTTTTTTATGTAAAAGTGAAAATTTGTTTAAAAGGTTTATATTTATAAAAAAATGTTTCAATAATTATTGTCTATATGTAAATTACCATGTTCCAAACTAAATCTTAGAACTGAGTTCATCGGATTAGTGGGGAGATGATGAGATCATATATAGCTAGTTTTATTATATTATTTAGGGCATCTCTTTATTTGCAATTATGATCAAATTTGCAAGAACGTTCATCGATTTGGTAAAAGCTATAGATTTAACTGTTCAATGATCAATCGCAGTAGAAAGTGGTTGGATCCGTAACTAATTTATCAATATTTTTTTAACATATATGCCAATTATAATGAAAATAATTGATTAAAGTTGTTGAAATAGTAACATTGATGCATTTGCACAACAAAAAAAAAANAAAAAAAAAAAAAAAGAAAAAAAGTAACATTGATGCATATCTAATATGCTTTAATAAATATTTTTAATTATATATTATTATTATTTTATTCTTCCTATCCAACAATGTCACATGTCATGTCCAATTCCAATTATTGGAGCAGAATGTATGAACGAACAAAGGAGTTGTTAGCCATGACATGTTTAAACTTTAAATGGCTTTTGTCTGACTGTATGTATATTTACGCGGGTGTGTTTGGCAAAGTTAGTGGGTCTGTGGGTGTGCGCATATTTGTTAGATTTTTGGTAGGGAGAAAAAAAGTTCAACCAAACACAGCTTAAACCAAATCCTACTAGTACCAGTATATTAGAATTAGAGTAATATTATATTACATAATATAATATTGTATTTAGGGGTGTACATAACATTCACATTTAATGGGACCTATCAAAATTAAATCAAGTAGACCTCATTCTATGTGAATGTTATGTATATTTATTAATAAAATGTAATGTGAAATTTACGAAATCGTCAGGTAGATCAATAAAATAATTAATAGAATTTTCAGTTGTCGTGTGCATGTGTTCTCTCTAATGGTTCTAATTCTAAGTTAGCTGGTTAGGTCTCATTTGATGACCTAACTAAACTTAATTAAGGAAGATGTTGCGATCTTATTACGGAACCATTCTATTGGGGTTTATAATTTTTAGATCAATTATCTCTGACAGTTACATAATGATCTAACGATTAGAAACCCGACAGAATAGTTCGGGACCTGAGCATTTCCCCCTAATTAAAAGATTAAAAAAAAAACAAAAAATCATTTACCGTCGTACCTAATTAACATTAACAGATGATTGGAAATTGAATGTAACGCAAAATTCCTTCATTTGGTACACACACTTGTACCCAATTTATGCGTTGTGTATCGAACCTATGTTATGATGGTGGCCGATTTGACGCACATATTTACAATACTATTTTGTCGACCAATTTTAATCAACGAATCTTTTATTCTGTTAACTGTTAGGCTCTACCAAAATTGACTCTTGTACAGTTCGTGGCAGCTGATGCTCTACACAGTTGTACTATTTCAATTAAGTTCGAATCTGAAAATTCAGATCATGTTGAATGAAAAAAGGAGTAATCTTTCTTGAGGACGAATTGAGTATGTATTGATCCAACGATTAGACTAACTTTTCATTCAAATGGATCAAATCAGCCGAGCTTTAACAGTTTGAAAAGCATATAATCAAATTTGCAAGCCAGAAATTGTTGCCACAAAAAAAGTAAAACTCCACAGACAACATCATATATAATTATATATCACACAAAAAACTAAAGGAAAACACTAGCCAAAAAACAAGAAAA